CAGATGGAGAGAGAGGGAGGGAGAGAGAGAGAGAGAGAGAGAGAGAGAGAGAGAGAGAGACAGAGCGAGAGAGAAGGGAAAAAAGTCATTAGGGGCTATACGCTTCACATGAAATTACAGCCATCATTTGTTTCACAGGCTGAGACAGCACCTACATGAAACAGATACTTCCTTTCCCCCATAATAATCTCCCGACATGAAATGCATTCCTTCCAGCTTTGTCCCAAACATAAATACTGATAACAAAGAGAGATTGTCAAAGCCAAGTGCTTTAGAGGGGCTGCCCGATGAGGAAAGACAGACGAGGGAGAGCGAGCGAGGTGCAGAGGGAGAGACGAGCCAACGCGTCTCCGCTTGGCATCGCGTAATCCAGGACATACGAGTAATTTACCGCGACAAAAAGTCCATCTTAACTTTAAGTCCGGACTGTGCAACTTTAGAAAGGGATAAGGGGATGAAAGAAGATGGGATCTGGTGGGGGTAATTTACTATCTGTGCAGCGATAAAGATAAGAAAACAAATCTACCAGGCCCTGGCCATAAAACTACCAAAGGTCTGCGGCTTCATTCGGTAGGAGAGAGGCACCTCGGCTTCCATCCTGCTCATAAAGGCCTTTCGGAGGGCTGTGAAACAGTTTAAACACACAAACACGCAAGTTCAGGTTTATGTAGTCTAAATATTCACATGCTGCTTTGTGTGTGTATAGAGAGGCGTTTGAAGGCCTGTGGTGCATTAGCGGACGAGAGTGGAAGCTAAACCCCCGCGTGGCCTCTCTCTCTCTTCTCCACTGACACAAAGACCCCTGTTACTCAGGCCCCACTGTATGTGTGTGTGAGAATCGCACAGTGATTTTACTGCCACCATGTCGTTAATGTTTTGAAGGCAGATTCTAACATTTTAAAAACTTTTTAAATTTAAATGACAAAAATTTGCTACATTCTATTAATCCATAAATCTGTTTTTTTTTTATTACTTTTTTAAATAAGCTTTAATATGCACACACACAAAAGTGTTAAGATTAAGTGTAAAGATTAAGAGGAAATCCTGGCTACTTTCTCAAGCTAATTCCGCCACTATTTACAGCTATTAAACTGCACCTAAACGCTTTATTTCTCTTGGCGTTCTGGCTTCCAGTGGGTCAACTGGTACGAATAAGGTGAACTGCCTCCTTCCCCCTCTGCTTCTAACAAAACCCAAACTGGATTGGTCTTTTTAGGGACAAGCACGCACGTACACACACTGAGCTGGTGGGGCTTCCTAAGCTTGTTAATTCTGACAAGAGACTCCAAGCGGAGGCTAGACACAGAAGGAGAGAGAAAGTATTTAAAACAGTGCTTTGTAGGTGAAATCCGAACTGTCCAGCTTTGCGTATTGTTCTATTCAGCTCTAATGTGTTTCAAACAGCAGGGCTCCTGCATTCAGCCCTGCCTGACAATTATGCACTTTAATTTGGGCTAAAGTTTTGCATTAAAATTGTGCAGCAGTGCACCATGCAAGGCCATAGTAGGCCTGCCCTCCACCTAAAACACATAACAAAGCCCCCAGTCCTGCAAACAGTCCCTCCTCCCTCCCCATTCCCCAGGCAAGCCAAGCATATCAAGTGTGCCTACAGTACTCCCAGACTAATGAACAATGCGTAAAAACAAAAGGCCGAGTGAGGCCTCCATTATCTGATCTTCCGCTAAAACACAAAACCGGCCCTCTACGAGCCTGAAGGAAGTACCGGCGTGCCTGCAGGTGTGAGCCGGCTAAAAGAAAACCCTTTTGACAAAACGGATTCTTGGACTATCAGGGATTAGAGTCATGGCACCAGTGGTAGCACACATCTTTTCTTTCATAAACTCGGCAGAATTTTCTCACGAGTCTGCAAGGCCGTGCTCCGTAAGGGGCTCTCTGTGGCCATTGAAACGTCTTAAGCTTTAATTAAGTTCAAGTTGTCAGAGGAAAGCCTTTTTGGCACAGATTCAGGGTCATTAATTACAGCTATCTTTGTTTCTTTCCAAAGGGAAGCCCTTCGAAGACATGCAGGTCTACTTGTATGAACTGCCTCCCTGTAAACAGACTTGAACCCGGCTTAACTGGCACATAAACCTCTCGAAGGGTCCTGCGACTTTAGGACAACCGCTTACATGTAGCGGTTTAGGCCTCTTCTGTGTGGAAATTAAGAGGAGAATGTGCTCAACCTTTCCCAAAAATAAAAAATGAGATCAATCTAATTCCTCATTTAGAACCAGATGTCTATGGAACCTCTGCATCATAAATTCATCTTAGGTAGTCATACGGTTAGTGAAACAAAAGACACGATGTTCCATTTAGACTTAAGATGGTTTCTGGGAAAAACAGCAATATAATTTGTTTTCTCTGCATGATGACTAAACCTCATTAGGATGAATAACTATCGCTAATAAACAAGCATTTCCTCAAGGGCTATTGGCTAGCTATTGTCGCATTCATATCCTCATATTGCATTTATGTGCATCTTATCCTGAGTTGTAGCCCCTTTTAGCAGCTTCCATTACTAATATTTTCATACTAATATGAAATAGATTTGTGTTGCATGTGAACGAGGCTGACCGCACATCTTAAATTATTCTGAATCACAATCGCAGCCGAGTATCCATTTTTATGGTCCTAATAAAATACAATGCAAACAGACATGCCTAACGTTTAAAGGCCGAAAGAGTGCGTAACTCTAGAAAATATTAATTTATTCACTATCAGCATTCCTGTTTTGTTTGCTCAAGACCTATATTGAAATTGAGTATTTTTCTTCCTTCTTTTATAGATATTTTTCTTCCTTTTTTTTTATAGACCCCTGTGGCACCGGTGCAAGCTGTTCAGAGACTTGAGCCTGGGGTTTCTGATTTATGAGGTTTAAGCTTACCATTTTTAGTACTGCCAGACTCACAAAGCCGTTATATACTACCTGCAAAGTTCAAAATGTTTGTGGCATCCCATAGCAAATTCTGCCCACCGAAAAGTCAGGATGCTGCTAGCAAAGAAAAGAAGGACTATTTATTTCTAAAATAAATAAATAAAAAGAATAAGACTTTGGTTTCTCTCACCTCGACTTGGTTTAGCAGAAAGCTGTAGGATAAATTGCACGGTGGTTCTGTCAAGCGCTAAGAAAATCTCTGAAACTGCTCCAAGTGCTGTTGTTGTGGGTGGCGAAGAGGCTATCTATGACAATATAGCGGCGCGCTCTCGCCTTTGATGGGTAATTGTTCTAGATTAGCATTTGGCAAACAACCAAGAGTCGAAAACCCCACGCGGTCCAATCATTTTAGCTAACTTATCGTTCCGGGGTGACCCTCGGCACGCCAAAGAGCACATCCAGCCGAACAGGATCCCTGGCACTGGGGTTTGAGGAGGAACACCCACCTCTTACTCTCTCTGGGCTCTCAGGACCTAATCAAGCATGAGCTGGGCGACTCTAAAGCAAAGACGCCATCATACCGTGCTGCCAAAACAATGCAAATCAAAGCACCAGGGACTCCCCATCACCTGTCAAACTAGGCCCCAATTCCCAGGGAGCGCGTTTTTTCCCTAACCTGACGAGACTTATTTATTTATGCTGACTTCAATGATTACAAAACACCTCTCGTTGCCTTCCCCTCTGCCCATCTGCTGTTGGCAGTAGGAGACTGGTTTCATTTGTACTGCCTGCAGTGACAAAACAGACTCATTAGTGGCATTCAGAATATGGATAAGGGTTGTTTGAGACTGGATGTTTATTCGCTCCGTTCTACTTGGATGACAAGACTCCTTCAGACAAGAAAAGACAAAAAAAAAAAAAAAATGAAGGGTTCAAAAAATGTTGTTCCTAAACTAAAACAAATTAGTGCATTAAAACGTTTTTTTTTTTTAGGTCATTAGTGAAGGAAAAAATCCAACAAAAAGAAAACATGCTTAAAATAATAATGTTTTTTGAGCATTTATTAATATATCCTATCAGCGCTTTTTTTTTTCAATTCTTGTTTGTATGCTTTCGAAGAGGAACTGGTTTCCGGACCCCGAGCGAAAAAAAAAGAAAAGAAACAAAAGCTTGTTTTGTTCCTCAAAGCATTTTAAACACATTCCAGCCTTACTTGGAGACTGGCCAGGTATACGATTCCATCAATGCTGACACCATCCAAACACATGTTACCAGTAACCGCTATTC